GCTTGTACCCGGGTTCGAAGTTTTTCAGTGATGGTCCACGATTCATGACCGTAGGTAAGTATGAGGATACAGATCGACTTGAATACTGAGAGCTCAGTTTTCAGACTGAGCTCTGCTTTAGTCACAGCGGTGTATGGGGATAAAGATCGACTTGAATATTGAGAGCTTCGTTTTCAGACTGAGCTCTGCTTTAGTCACAATGGGTCGGGCTAGTTCACGCAGAACGCCACTGGCTACTCCAATTCGCCGGTCGATCTCTTCCTCCAATTTTCCATCACTTGTAAATACAATTCCGAGGTACTCGAACTTTTCCACCTGCTCCACTGCCTCTCCGGTAATCTGAAGAGAGCAAGGGACAGAAGTACGAGAAAGCACTAGGCTTTACGTTTTAGATGAGTTCATACGCATGCCGGTCACGTCGCACTCGCCTGAGAACTTCGCTAGGGAGTACTGTAAATCAGCTACAGAAAATGCCAAGAAAAGAAAGTCGTCTGCAAGCAGCAACCTTGTCGTCTTCGCATCTCCCACACCGATGCACTTATCGCCTTGGCTGTTCCTCACCATTCTATTCCAACCAACACAAACAGGAGACGGACAGAACGCAGACTTGGCTGAAACAAGTTTTCGACATAAGGCCATTTACTATGAAGCAGCACCTACCAACAGCATATAGTGATTGGATGGCTCTTAGCAACCGGCCATCGATCCCATATGTTCGCAGGCATTCCCACACACTGCTGCCTGGGATCCGGCCAGAGGTTTTCGTTAGGTCAACAAGGCACATGTACACCGCATGGTCGAACTCCCACGATTTGTGAACAATCTGGCGTAGTGCAAATATATGATCAGAGGTGCTTCGACCGGGCCGGAAGCACACTGCTCTTGTTGTGTCTTTGAGTTAGTTATTCAGTGGCACTTCCTTTCTAGCACTTTCGAATAGAGTTTGCACGGGAGGCTGAATAAGGAAATGCCCAGATCATTGGATCACTCCTTGTGGTCTCCCTTTTTAACAGGGTTACTCCAACCCCTGTTCATCAGTCCCCTTATGTTTTTCCCGTAACATCACAGGTTGCGAGAAACGTGTAAACCAGCACATGTCTTGTTCACCTATTGCTTTGAGCAGTTTAGGGCGGATTTCATCGATTCCAACAGCCTTTGCATTTTTTAAACATTTTACAGCATGTGCGATTTCATTTACAGAAATGAATTGATACTAATCCTATTATACAATACCATTATGAATAATATCCTTTCCCTATTGGCTTTAGTCGATATATCCTCCAGTTGCTTGGAGTTAAGGAGCCCTCAAAGTATTCTCTCAATCGCCAGTGAATGTCCTCATCCTAACTAAGAGGATACCCTGACTTTTCCTTCATAACATACTTTTCAGCCGTCTGTTTCTCCAAAAATTCGATTTCACTTTATGGAACTTCTCCCATGAATTCGCTTTAGGTTTTGCTCCGCTTCCTTTACAACCTTACGCCTTCTACAAACCGCATGCGAGTTGAAGGTTCTTTGCCTAAAAGCCATTTCGTGAATGCAGCTTGCTTCCCGGTGGCAAGTCGTTGTGCCTGTCCTGTCCAACAGGAAGTTTTTTTCTCACCTCCATCCTAAGGCCAACCTATTTGAAAGAGCAGCATTTGGCAGCAGCCTCGAATATGCCGCTATTATAATACTCCCTTTGGTTTCCACACCGGTTGTCATCACCGGAAATACATCTTCATCATCTTCCATCGCCGCTTTTTATTTCGGGTCGCGGTGGCAGATGCGTCAGACAGAGCTTCCAACGTTCCCGATCCTGTGCCAGAGTCTGAGCTTCGGCAAAAGAAAAATGGAGTCTGGAACAGAC